AAGCCCTATGAAGCGGTATATAAGTCTAACTGCTATTGCTATTGCTATTGTCTATTAGTGTAACATTACACTATAGAGACAGTTTACAAACAACATTGGATAGTTTTGTACAATATGCAGAACAGGCAACCTACAATGAATAGTATATAAACAGCCCCTCAGCCTCCAGAATCATGTAGGCAGGATTATAAATTCCTGAGGATAATTCTTTGTTGATCTTCTTTGTGAGACATTAGAACATGGGTAACCTTGCAGAGGCCAGATGCTAATATGTCAATAAAAACTGAATGATTGAATGAGTGAGTGAGTAAGTGAATGAAATCTCCCCAAATTCTAATAATTGGGCTTATTTACCCATGGTACTGATTTTAACTTTATCCCCCACTTCTTTGAAAGTGTAACAATGTTGTTGAAGTACTTATTACAACTCCTAGCAGGGAATGAAGAGGTAGTACAGCTTCTCAACTGGAAAATCTTGTTGAATTTTGTATAAAGTTTTATATTAAATAATAACATGGTTTCTTGATTTTTGGCCAGCATAAGGAATATACTCAGCCCATCATGATTTACGCTTAGGAGTAACAAATTAACATAACAAATCATAACTTAGTGCCAAGTGCAAACTCAGCCAGTGATTTGTTCAATAAAGCAAGGTGTGATTCACATAGGCTACACATTTGTAAGATGAAGAGAACTCTTACTTTTCCTTCAGCACAAGAAGTGCCTTTATTAACCAGTGCTGGATCGGGAATATCTGATCCTAGATCAAATTCAGTGGTTACACATGAAATTCCATCTTGAGTCTGGAAATACAACTCGGACGGGAGATTCTCTTGCTTGAAAGATGTACAATGAATCTTGCCACATAAACTGTTGCTGCAAATGTAATAATATTAATTATTGTAATAATTAATGTAATAATATTATGATATACATACATAAGTAAGGAATTGTGAAGCAGTATGATAAATACAAAATGCTATCTTCCAAGTTCTAATATTGAGTACATGCTTTTTCAAGATTTTGTTCACTAGACTTAAGGTCTATAAAAATCAATGTTGAGCAAAAAGATGTAAATCCATAAGTAGGAAAAAATAACAGATTATCAACTTTAATACATACAGATCTTCTTGGCCAACAATGGAAGGCAAGATAGTCCTCACTTAGCAACCACTTTGAGCAGTGACGGTTCAGTTACGACAATGTTGAAAAAGTAATTTTGTGACCAATGCCTGCACATACAACCTTCACAGCATCTCTCTCTCACACTCACTCTCACTCTGCCATGTTAGTTAGCACATGCTGCCTTGTGTAAAATCATAAGCACAGTTTTGGTCACATGATTTTTCACTTAGTGACTACTTTCACTAACAACCAAGTTGCCAGTCTCAATTGCTAAATGAGAATTACCTATCTAGCTAAAATGTCCTTTTATGTGGCTGAAGTTTCAATTTTTAATGGCTTAAAGAACAGAATAAATAATCTCTGTCAACTATTCATTTCCACATCCTTTTAGCAAAGGTTTGGCCTCCCTCATTAAGGTTTATGATTCCAAATAAATGTGTACAGTTCTATCATAAGATGTTTGGTGCAAAACATCTTTTTCTGTTGCCATCCAACAACTGATATCCTAAGGCTTGACACTTTTGATTTTTGAAGTATTATATGTTTATCAAGACAAGTAGCGCATTTATTTGACTATGATTCGGAAACATACTGGTTACACCTCCAAAACACTGAAATTACTAGAACATTCTGAACAACTGTTTAAAATCATTTATAAGACAAATCTAGTCTCTAGAGTGGAGGTGGGAAACTATGGCCCCTTTATGACTTGTGGACTTCAACTCCCAGAATTCCTGAGCCAGTTTGAGCCAGGAATTCTGGGAATTGAAGTCCACAAGTCATAAAGGGGCCATAGTTTCCCACCTCC